AATAATTATACCTATACGAGCGCATAGTTAAGGGACAAGGAGATGGATTATAAATAACACACTCTCTAATCACTAGGAGTAGTCATCTCAAGAATTACATTGGGTACAATAACTCTACTCAAAATGTGCACCCACCCCTTCTTCAAATCCTCCCGGTGATAAGAATAACTCTCCCGAGAAGTCCTAAATATTGTTTACTATAGGTTAAGGAATACTTATTGGAAGCCACATCTCAACTCGCAAAGGGTATTAATCCTTCAACCTATCTTAGAAAGATCTTGAGAGATAGTGATATTTCTACTAAACATTCATCTTAACTCAAGAAGAGTGTTCACCTCAAAACTCCCCTTTTCATTAACATTATTTAGCTTCATTCATTCATTCAAAGTGTGTGAGTGTGAGTGTGTACATGTGAGCACACATTTTCACATAATCACTATTCTCATATCATTGACTTCTAAACATGCTTGCATCTTCATTCAACATATTTCACACCTTAGTATACTTCAGATATACACATACTTCATTTAACACTCTCTACAACAAACACAATTCAAGCTTCAATAAGCATATCAACATGAACACCATTATCATCTGTACTTTACTTCTCATACTATACCTTCATGGCCATAACCACAATACACATATTCACACACACACACACACACACACATACACAGATATATATATACACACTTTAAGTAAACACCGCCACCAAAGGTGGACCATACCACTCATGAACATTTCACAATAAGAACTAATCAATATAACCAACTTACCATTCATCGAAGCTTCAACCACCTATTATCAATTCCTTCAATATTTCATCATAAAATAGCCCTTAGTGGAGTATTTAAACACAATACAACATAAAGAAACATAACTCTAATATTTTACAACATTCTCAACATATTTACATTAACTAACTTGATAAGATAAAAGTTGAAAATATGCATGAGCATGGGTTCATTGAGGTTTTGACTTGAAAATCATTAAAAATATTAAGAAAAAATTATTTTAATCATTAAAACATTTTCATGAAAAGACATATGCTTAGAATCAAAAATAGAAGAAGTTCTAGTTTGAAAACCCTTTTTTTAAACCTTTTTTGAAATGGCTCTTTCAATGAGAGAAGGTTCAAGGAAGACTACCATACCTCAATATGAAGAAACCCACAAGATTTGGTGAACAAAACTTGAACGATTTCGTCTTCTTCCTTGGATCTTGAAGTTCTCCAATGGAGGTTTCAACTTAGAGAGAAAGTTTAGAGAGAAGGGAGAGCATATGAAAATTTTGAATTCTAATTGAGGGTTTGGGGATTTTTGTTGGGGAATAGGTATATAATGACCTAAAATTAGTGTACAACACACCCCCAAAATACATAAATCATCCCTACATTAAAAGGACCATTTTAGACAAGTCAAACTTTCCTTAAATTTTTGAAATTATCATCGGGGAACAAGTCCGCGATGCGGAGCTGCTCCCACAAGATTTTTTAACAATAAATTTTGGGAAAGGGGAGTTTGCGACGTTTTCGTGTCGCAGAATATGATTTTTCTATGGGTGCACAAAATCTGCGACGCGGACTGGGTTCCTACTAGTTCAAATGCTTGCTGCTTTTGGGCATCTTGCTTGGCCAAAGGTGGGGTCCCTTCGTGGACCTCTAGGGCGATCCTCGGGGGGCGAACCTGGACATTTTGACTTTATATACTTCATTGTACCTAATTAATGTCTTTTACAAGTTTTAGACTCTATATAATACATAAAAACACATACAACATACAAGGATACACTAGCGTGCGCACAAAGCTAGTTTCCGAACATCTTTGTCGTCCCTTGACGTTTAACTTCCAAACCTCACCAACTAAATTCTAATTATAAAATACATAATTTTAACTCATTATTAAGTTATGAAACACATACAAAGCTCTAGTTCAACCTAGTTCGTTTTAGGGCGTTACACAAGACTACAGATTTGGCGGAGGAATATGCCAAGCTTTACATTAATGAGATAGTCATGTTCCATGGGGTTCCTTTGTCTACCATCTCAGATAGAGTTTTTTTGTTTACCTCTATTTCTTGAAGTCATTTCAGAAGGGTTTTGGTATTGGGTTTAATCTTAGAACAACATTTCATCCGTAGACGGATGGACAGGCAGAGCGTACCATTAAGACTCTATAGGATATGTTGAGAGCTTGTGTAATCGATTTCAAGGGTAGTTGGGCTGATCACCTTCCTCTTATTGAGTTCTCCTACAGCAACCGCTACCATTCCATCATTCATATGTGCCCTCATAGGCACTGTATGGGCGTAGATGTGGATCTCTAGTTGGTTGGTTTGAAATAGGAGAAACAGCTTTGATAGGACCAGATTTAGTCCTTTAAGCTCTCGAGAAAGTTCAAATCATTAGAGATATACATAAGATAGCCAAAGTCGTCAGAAATCTTATGCATATGTAAAGAGAAGGGAACTAGAGTTCCAGTCGTCCACCCCCATTTTAGTTAGTTTAGTCTTCATTCTAGGATGAATGTTCTCAAGTGGGAGATAATGTAACAACCTATATCATAGATACACCAAAATTCATACTTTCCAAAAGTACAGGTGCAATCTACGGACGCCACCAACATACCGTTGGTGGGACCATGGTCCGTGGACCAGGTTCGTCAATCTTGGTCTACAGACCTATTCTCCACACCAAACGATAAAGGAACAGGATGGACCGTAGTTAGGACCACATTTTGTGGACAAGGTTCGTCAATCTTGGTCAATAAACCCATTTTCTGAACCTAACAACGAAGGAAAAGGATGGACCATAGGTAGGAACACGATCCATGGACCAGGTCCGTCAATACTGGTCCACAGACCCATTCTCTAAACCAAACGACGAAGGAACAAGACGGACTGTAGTTAGGACCATGGTCCGTGGACCAGGTTCGTTGATTTTGGTCCACAAACGACAATCAGGACCGACGTAGAGTAGATAGGAATACGTTCCATGGACCAGATCCGTTGGTCTTGGTACACAGACGACGTTCAGGACCTACGAACCGTAGGTAGGACCACAGACCGTGGACCAGGTCTGTCTGTCACTCAGACAACAGTTAAGTGAGGGGTCTTTTAGTCTTTTCCTATTTTATTTAACCCCTAAGCTACGTTGTTTAGAACCAAAATTATGAGGTTTTAGTCAATTTAAGCCTATAAACATAATTAAAACTTACCTAAGTCAAATCATTAATCAAAAAATAGAAAATTAGAAGCAAGAAAGGAGAAAAAGGTTAAGAACCCTCGTTCAAGAATGCAACAAGTTTCCATCAGTTACATCCCCAAAGTCTAAATACTTCCCCGTGGAATTAATCACTAGGTATGTGGGATTTCACTAGTGGGTTATTTCATCCATTGGGTCTCCATATATCAGTCAGATTCTTGATTCCCTTATCATGACTAGACATAGGGTTTCCTAGAACTTCAGCAGATTATCATGAATTAGTTAGTTATATGTTCTAAATTAGATTACCATGTTATTACTTAGTTTATTGCATGATTTTCATAACCGTAGCTATGTATTTCCTTAGTTCTTTAATTACACATGCTAGGTCCGATATTTTAGTTACTTCTGATATACATGCCTCAGTTATCAATAAATCATTATCAAATTAATCATTGCATTCTCAGTTTGCATGTTCAGTTTGAGCTATCCAGTATTTACAAAAATTTATTCAAAGTTCGTTAACCACTAAATTTATTGGGAGTAGTATGATGACGAGTTGGACTAGGGTTCACCGTACTCAAATAGTCCCAAAACTACTAGCCAAGTGGGTTGTAAGTCCCTTATGTAGGCATCAATTTAGTGAACATGCCAGCATGCCTTTATACCTCTGGTAGGGTATATTGGGTCATGTCGAAAGGGTGAATAATTTGAACTCCATAGTTAGCTTATATGGTTTTATTATCGGTTATTAGTAGCTCCCACAATTCGGTTTGATTCCATTGCATTGACTAATTATTTGTATATCCAGTTCAGTTTCACCATGTTATAAATTAGTGACTACATTCGGTTATCTTAGCATTGAAAACCTATATCATGTTCAGATTATGTCATTACTTTACTACTTTGTTCAACTATGTATTATTTCAAGTTTACTCTATCCTGCATGCTCAATACCTGTCAAGTACTGACGCATACGTGCCCTACATCTTCTCGTGACGTAGGTTCAGGTTCTCGATGTCCAAATCACGCTTAGATCGGCTCTCGGTCTCCAGTTCAGCAGAATCAGTGGTGAGCCCTTATTCTCCGAGGACAATTTTCATGAGATTATTTTAGTTTTTTTAGTCCTTTAGTTTAAGTTTTGCTATACTTAGCTTAGGTCTGTCCCAGCATTTCTAGTCAGTTAGAGACTATTTTCAGACATAGTTAGTTTCAGCTTAGTATTGATTCAATATCTTATTTTTATTAAACTCATCAGTTTTCATATATCTCAGTTATAGTATAAGAGTATTCCCCATCTTTTTATTTTAATTATGATTTAGCTTTCACACCAGTTTATTATGTCTAGTATGCTCATGATCATTCTTGTATGGTTAGCTTGGGATCACTTATGGTCCTAGTCTCGTGTCCGGTATCGAGTCTAGCTGGAGGCGTGACCTTACTAGCTGAAACTAGACGTTGTGGATGTGATAGAACTGACAAAAATTTCATCCGACGCTTAGAACTAATTATGTTGACCAAGGTCAACCATATCATGAATTCTCAACTCAAGAAGGGTCAAGTCACCAAAGCTTATCCGATCACATCGGGGACCATACCAACCATTTTCGGAACAAAAATCCAAGCATAAAAATGCTAAGGGGAAGGGCAAAATTGTCATTTCACAATTATAAGCAAATTCACAAGAACTAGGACATTGCATTGATGCTACATTTTAAAATATGAGCAATCTTGAATAATAAAATGGAGATAATAGATATAAAGGGAAGAATATGATTATTGTCTTATTCAAATGTTCTACCAATGCATATAATACATATATATATATATATAGAAATATATTAAGAAAAAGTTACATCACACAAACTTGAGGTTGTAATTGAATAAAAGAAAAAAAATGAAACTTGACGATGTAGATTTAAATGAAAGTACTATATTGACACACTATTAGGTATTCCTTTGCCTGTGAGTCCCTGTTCACTTGTAGGGAAGAGCAATGTATATGGAACTTTAACAGGCCCTGACCTATTTTTCCATTGCTCATCACCATTCATCTGTATAATTTGATCCTCGATCTCACTTAACTTCTTCCCAAATCTCTCAAAAGCAGCAATGGATTCTTGATCCTTTGTCCATTCGGATGAGTCCCGTTGTCCAAGGTAAATCTCATCTGATGCATGCCTTGATAATATTTCTATGAGAGAAATTCCTAGTAATGTCTGTAGTTGAGGAGTGATTGTTTTCAAGTATGCCTTGTCAGGATTTGTCTTGAGTTCTTCATACTCAGGAGTTCCTGGCTCAGGCATGAATCTTCGACTTAATGTTGGGCGATTTGGGAGGTACCCTGCATAAGGATATTGCCCAAAATTGACTGCTGCATGAAGTGCTGATGCTATCCAAATAATAATAGTGCAAGAATCTATTAGCTCTTGCCGAATTTGCATTTTAGGCCACCAAGGTTCATCTTTCTTGTCACCATGTCCTTCTTCTCGTAGTTCCTTCCACCACGCTTGGAGTTCATTATCTTTCAAAAGTGATTCATCTGATTTATAATAGAAGTTGCAATACTCTGTTACCCAACTTTTGATTGCTGACCATATTTGTAAGCCATCAACAGCATAAGGATAGTCTTGAATTAGCAAGCGAACACCATGTGGGGAACTTGAGTCCTCTACGGCCACTCCTCTAAAATCAAATGATATTATAGTTCATATTAGCAAAATCAAAACACCTGGAATTTAAACTTCAACAACAACCATATTTTTCTAGTAAATTTGGTTCTAAATTATAATTTATACCTCTTAATAAGATCTGCTGGAAGTGCTTGTTCAGGAAAAACCCAACTTTTGTAAACTACAGCTGACATTTCCATCGCATATTTGGCAGGAAAAACTGTCATCTCAAGAACTCCACCAGCATTGATTAAGATCTGTCTTGCCAAAGCATTTATGTTCATCGTGTCACGAAAATGAGGATGTAAAAGCTTATGAATTGGGTGAAGCACACTTAGTTGCCTGTTTGTTGCAATCACGAACGGCTCAATGGCTGCATGTGTATTCAACCTAAGAAAATGACACAAATATTATTTCAATACGATTTGACAAAGAACTGAAGTTTTAATTATGACTCATAATTCCTTTAGAGAAGTCTAAAAACACAATTTTACCAGTGACTAATTAGCTGATGAACACCGGAGTCATTCACTGCAACATAAGCTTTAGCCAATTGCCATATCGAACCTTCAACACCTTGATTAGCTGGGGTATAAACTTTGCTAACAGCACCAAGATGATCGCCATCTGGATGTGGCAAGCTTAGTTCAATTGCTACAGGCTTCATTGTTCCATCATCTTGCAAGAATAGCAAAGTTCTTGAGGCGTAGAGTTTTGTGTTTGTTGTGTTTATTCTCCTCACATATGGCATAAGGATGTCATGGTGGTTTAGTATGTAAAGCCTGTTAGTCTTGATTGCCTGTAAATAACATTGGTAATTGAGTTTTTACTCAGGGCTTTTGAATGAAATCTACTCCTACTTGAAGTGTTTAAGCAAAATAATCTGAAAGACAGATAAATGAATTACATCATCGATCGTTAGCCCATCTAGTGTATTCTCTATATGCTCTTTGGTTATTGTACTGTTTTGGTTGCCATATACTTCAGGATCTAACTCGCTTTTTGGAGGGAATTCCTATAAATTAGAAAAAACATAAAACAATATGTTATAAGTACGGAACGAAAAGGTGAAGTAGAAACAAAGCTACCAACTCCTCTTTTCGAAACACAGGTCTGTGATGTATATGTGATCTCAATGAAGCCAACTTACTTGGAGTCTGCTGATTATGACAGGATTTACTCCGGCAAGCATTTCTCTTGCAAATTCCTCATCAGTCCTCCATGAACTTTTATCCTCTGAAAAAAAGAATTCCACAAATCACACGTAACAACAAATATTCAGGATAGTACAACAATGGTAATAGGTATACGTCTTAGTAAGTAATTATAAATACCTTGAAGAACTTGAGGTGTTGGGAATTTAAACTTTCCTTCACCATCGGTTCGGATAATTTCTTTTAGAATCTCTAGAGGAATGCTATCAGTAAGGGCTTTAAGAAAAGGGCCTTGGGGCAATTTGATTCCTCCTTCATAAAGTTTCATTACATCCTCAAAGCTATCAAACTCATCGGGTGTGCTATCAAAGAGAGCTTGAAACTCGGGGATAAGGAACTGAACAATGGATTTCAAAGCATATGTCAGGAAGTCCGACAACTTAATGTGTCCAAAACGCTCGTCTCTTGGTACATAGATGTCTAAACTCATAAGTAGTGGAATCCTACTTTCACTTTTAGGATCTGTTCAGAATGAAAAACACGATATATGTCAGCCGAAGTTGCTTTCATCGAAATCAACATGCTAAATGATTCTGACGATAATAAATATAATATAACCTGCTTTTGTTGGCTTTCTGCCTGTTCTTCCTCTACGAGGGTATGGAAACTCAGCAGATCCTCCGAGGATAGTCCTGGCATACTGTTTGCCTTTTTCTGGATCACCCAAGTCATTGTATAACGCGTAGTCATAAACTCTGTCCCATTCCTCAAGCTTTCCATTTCCATCTCCTCTTAAGTTCACTAGCTCTTTTTCTCTGTAATTGCGCAATGGTTCTGGTGTTTCACCCGGAAGATATGCCTGCATTAATAATCAAAATTCTTCTTACTAAAGAATATCTCTTTTAACTAAATCATATATGTAACGCCAGATATATACCTGATTAGCAAAGAAAATGCGTTCTGATTTGTATCTTTTAGCAGGATAAACCCAAGAATTGCAGACAAAATGAACGCTGCCGTGATTAGGAACATCTTCAAGGGTGAGTGACTTGAGATAAAACTCATTGAAGTGGAAATTATTGATAATAAATGCCCCTGGTACGCCAATATCATCGTCCCAATCAAACGTAACGTCAAAGGCAGATTCACCTGCTACTAATGAGGTTCCTGTAGTGAGCCACTTCTCCAAGTATGCTGGATTGCTACGTTTACCTTGTAAAGTATTTCCTGCCAAATCGATTCGATTCACCAAATATTAAATTACTATCTGCAGTTACGTTCTAAAGAAACAAAAAAAAAAATATTAATATGAATATGTATAACAAAAATCAAGGGTGGCTCGATAGTGTTAAAAAAAATATATACCTTAGGCTCACAAATTTAAGGGGTCTTATCTTTAATAATAATATGCTATAAGTTATTATTTTTTAACAAATATTTAATACTATTTGTCGAAAAAGTATATTTTTCATGAAAATGAAGGAAATATTAGAAGAAATTTGACATATTTGGAATACTATATCTAGTGAAAAATAACTTAAAATTATATCAAACGTTATTAACTATTCAAGTTTAAAGTCCCGTTTGATTTTTGTGTTGGGCCACTAATATGCTTGAGCCGCTTTTGACAAAAATAACTCTTAACGACAATAAAAATACACGGTGTTTACCAGGATCAGCATGAACAGCGCTGATCAACTGCAAAGACACGCGTTTCCCAAGGAACTCGAGTACTCCATCAAGAAGAGAGGCATTGACATCATTAAAGTCCAATACATTCTTCTTCATCAACACAACTGTTCCTTTAACCTTTTTTACATTTTCACTTTTCCCAGAGATTACTTCCACAATTTTTTCCAGTAACATGATGATTATCTTCTTAAAAAAAAAAAATACTATAATATAACTTTCAATCTCTAAGCTTTTCAAACAAATGAATGAGTTTTGTTATGTGATGTTACAATGGGACGAGTCGGTATTTATAGCCAGCAGTATGTATCTGCTTGTCAAAATATATTACTTTGACAAAAAAATATATTAGAAAAACGATTAAAGAAAGCCCATATATAATTATGAAAGAGTTAGACTTGAATATTGTATCAAATTATACACTGAACGCAAGTTTCTTGGCTAATTTTAACTGATCTTATCTTAAATTATAATGGTATATATTTGACTGTATTTTGTTGAAGCAGCCCCTATTGGTCGTTTGTACCCCACAGAAAACCAACTGGACTGAAATCTAATGCCCTTTTGGAATATATTGGACTTCCACTCTTGAATTCGTCGTTTAGTTTAGCCGCCAGCTAGTAGGTAGATGACGCGGTTCAAAGAAATTATAAATATGTAATACAGTTTGGATTTTCATGTTTGTCGGAAATGTTCAAATATGTCATCGAACTTTGAGAAAAAAAATTATTTATGTAATAGGTTATATGTTTGGTTCATCAATGTCATTTTTGTTTAAAAAAAGCTTAATCCTGTCATTTTTTTCAACCAAAAATAGTTATAATTTTACAAAATCATTTCTTACACGTGGTCAATTATGACTCTATACATTATTATTTAAATTATTTTGTAAGGAAAAATCCTCAAATTTGAAAAAAGAAACTCATGTATGCGATTTGTTAAAAGTTTGGTTCATTTATGACATTCAATTAACAAATGATGGTATACATGAACCTTTTTTCAAACCAAAATGACATGAATAAGCAAACTTTTAGCATATGACATAAAAGAAAACTCTTTTTTGAAAAAAGTTTAATGAAATATTTGAGCCTTTTCCTTATTTAAAAAAAAACACATCACAAAATTAATTTAAAAAGTTAAGTCTGACGTGTCACTTGTGGTTTAGGATATGGATTTATAATGATGATGTGTTTGGGATATTAAGTCTTGGGTCAACTTGTGTTTGGTAATTAGATTACGCCAATTTGATCGACTTCCTAATTATAATGATAAAATAACAGTTTAAAATTTCTAATGATACGTTCATTAGCTTGTTAGATTAAGGTAGGCTTACTTTTATCTTGTCAATTGTCATAGTCTTCTAGAAGTTTGCTTCATTTTATTTCTCGGATGCTTCTCCCTTTGGAAAGTATCAATTTTCACATTTGTCTACTTTGATTGAACAAGTCATCTTACTAATCTTGATTTTAGGGTACCAATAAAATGGCTCATGCACTCCAATCTTTATTTTATTTATTAGAAATTTGAAAAGTAAAAGAAATCCTACATAGAAAATATAGTAGATAATGATGGATAAATAAATTTTAACTATCCCTTAATTATTTGTTTGTTTATTAAGTTTGAAAAGCTTAGTACACTATCAATAATTTGTACCAAAGTAAATTATATCTATCTCTAGTTGGATATCTTATCGTGGATAAAATAGTGAAAATGACAAAAGTATTCTCTCAAATCTTTTTATGCTTCACTTTTCACCTCATTTACACTTATAAAGAATATTTTTATAAAGTAACAACTTATACTTTGCAATTAAGCAACACATATATTACTATTAATATAACAAACCAAACATTAAGAAATAATACAATCAACTAATTTCAAAATAGCTAATAATCTCATCATAACTACTATAATTTGTCATCAAACCAAACAATCCCTCTAATTAGAAGAATGTTAGCACACAAACGTTCGAGTCATGATGGCACCTATTAAAATTTACCAGTAAATAAGTCAATTAGTAAACCAAACAATAAGTAATATATGCATACATGGTACAAGTAATAAATAATAGGAGATACAGATTTAATTTAAAGGAAACAGTGCGAGAAGTTAGAATCCAATATATCTTTCTATTATATTGTCACGACCCAAATCGGATCGTGACTGGCACCCACACTTACCCTCCTATGTGAGCGAACCAACCAATCTAAACCATAACATTTCAATATAATATCAATAGAAAGTAATGCGGAAGACTTAAACTCATTAATAAAAACTAATTCAATAACTTCTAAAAACTCGACAACTATTATTATCCCCAAAATCTGGAAGTCATCATCACAAGAACATCTACTTCAAATTACTAAATCTAAGAGTATCTAAGAAGCTAAAATACATAAACAGCTAGTCCATGCCGGAACTTCAAGGCATCAAGACATGAAGAGGAAGACCCAGTCCAAGCTAGAAGCATTAGCTCACCCTGAAATCCGGTGTAATGAAGACTGGCTAGAGTTGCGGTTGAGTTGAAGACGACGCTACGTTTGCTGCACTCCACAAATAACAAAGAAGAAAACATAAAAGTAGGGGATAAGTACAAACACAAGTACTGAGTAGGTATCATCGGCAAACTCAAAATAGAAAACAGTATATATCAAGTAATATCATAAATCAACTACAATACTCATCAAGTAGCAACAACAAGTACTATAATCATTACCAAGTACCGCCAAGTTCACACATGAGGACTCAAGCCTCCGTACCATACTCATTTGGGAATTAGGTTCATTAGATTGAGTATATTAACATCTTTCAAGATTCATTATCTTTATTCCTCTTGTGTCGGTACGTGACACTCCGATCACCTACTATTATGTGTCGGAACGTGATACTCCGAACCCCTAATTCTACGTGTCGGTTCGTGATACCCGATCCCCTAAATCTACGTGTCGGTTCGTGACACCCGATCCCCTAATTCTACGTGTCGGTTTGTGACACCCGATCCCCTAAATCTACGTGTCGGTTCGTGACACCCGATCCCCTAATTCTACGTGTCGGTTCATGACACCCGATCCCCTAATTCTACATGTCGGTTCGTGACACCCGATCCCCTAATTCTATGTGTCGGTTCGTGACACCCGATCCCCTAATTATACGTGTCGGTTCGTGACACCCGATCCCCTAAATCTACGTGTCGGTTCGTGACACCCGATCCCCTAATTCTACGTGTCGGTTCGTGACACCCGATCCCCTAATTTTACGTGTTGGTTCGTGACACCCGATCCCCTAATTCTACGTGTCGGTTCGTGACACCCGATCCCCTAATTCTACGTGTCGGTTTGTGACACCCGCTCCACTAATCTCATTCTATTAATTCATCAAGCCTTCTCTTATACTAAGGCATCATCATCTCATTACTTTAGTTCATCAAGCCTTCTTTTATACCAAGGCATCATCAATCTCATTACTTTAGTTCATCAAGCCTTCCTTTATACCAAGGCATCATCATTAACAAGAGATTTTCAAGATTTGGGATTCAATAGCTTCATCATGCTTATTTTATCACAATTATATAAACACGTCATACATGCACACAATTAGCATATAGAAGACTTTACAATACAACCCAACACATATCATTCGCTATCAAGAGTTTACTACGAATAGCATAAAAACCATAACCTACCTCCACCGAAGATTCATGATCAAGCAAGAAGTTCCCCAACGCTTTGTTTCCTCTTCGTTTCTCCTCTTTCTCGTCCGACTCTGTCCCTCTCTCTCTTTGTTCTTTCTATTTCTTTATTCAAACCCCTTTTTTTACCCTAATTAGCATATAATTAAGTATAAAAGATGGCAATAATAACCCACTAATTAACTCAAGGTTACCTCTTTTAACCCCCAAGTAATTAGACTTATTAACATTAACACACTAACTTTATAATTAAAGCAGGAATAGTCAAAAACGTCCCTTAAAACATTTAAGGAATCCAACTCAGCCTGGGATTACGCAGCCTGTGACGGCCCGTCGTGCCTGCGACGGTCCGTCCTGCTGCTCCATCACAGAGTTTAGAGACTCAATTTCCTTGAAGAGTCTGTGACGGTCCGTCGTGCCCACGACGGTCCGTCCTGCCATGTTGTCACGAAGTTCAGAGAGTCGATTTCAATACCCAAATTTCAGAATTCTAAGTGTTTTGGAATGAGACCACCTCGACGGTCCGTCGTGCCCATGACGGTCCGTCGTGGGGTCCGTCGTCTCTGCCAGTTTTTCCAGAATTAAAGTCTGCTGCTCAAAACGACTAAACAGGTCGTTACAATAGATACCAATTTACCCATCGTTCGTCCTCGAATGTTTATAAGGAGAAAAACAAGGGCGAAACGAAGTACCTGAATCTTTAAACAGGTGTGGATATCTTTCTCGCATATCAGCCTCTTTCTCCCAAGTGGCTTCTTCGACTGGTCGATTCTTCCATTGAACATTGACGGATGCAATCTCCCTTGACCTCAACCTGCAGACTTCTCTATCTAGAATAGCAACAGGTTCCTCCTCATAAGACAAATTCTCATCAAGCAAAACTGAATCCCAACGGATAATTTAGTTTCCATTCCCATGATATCTTTTCAACATAGACACATGAAATACCGGATGCACTCCGGACAGCCCGGAGGCAAGGCTAACTCATAACCCACCTCCCCTAATTACTTCAAAGGGACCAATATACCTTGGGCTTAATATACCCCTTTTACCGAAACGCATCACCCCTTTCATGGGTGAAACCTTCAGCAAGACTTCTTCACCCTCCATGAACTCCAAGTCTCTAACTTTTCGATCTGCATATTCCTTTTGCCTACTTTGCGCTGCTAACAGCTTTTCTTGAATAGATTTCACATTCTCTAATGAATCCCTCAAAAAGTCAGTACCTCAAGGTGTAACCTCAAATGCATCAAACAACCCAATGGGAGACCTACATCTTCTCCCATATAGTGCCTCAAATGGGGCCATATCAATGCTTGAGTGATAGCTATTGTTGTAGGAGAACTCTGCTAAGGGTAAGAATCTATCCCAATGACCACCCAATTCTATCACACATGCACGAAGCATATCCTCCAACACTTGAATCGTTCGCTCAGACTGACCATCGGTCTGAGGATGGAACGCAGTACTAAGGTCCAACCTAGTACCCAATTCCGCATGCAATGTTTTCCAAAACTTAGAAGTAAACTGTGTACCTCTATCTAATATGATGGAGAGTGGAACCCCATGCAACCGAACAATTTCTGAGATATAGAT